TCGTGGGTGGGGTGCACAATTTTAACAAGGTGGATCTGGTACTTTGCCAGAGGGGATTTGTCTCTGCTGAGGATATCAGAGCCATCCTGGTCTGCTCTACAAAGCACACAACTATTTTTGTGTGCAGGTCTTCTTCCACAGGGAACTCACACTGCCGTATAGGCCATTCAGGTAAGGAACATGGTGTCTACAAATTTTGGGCACTCATCTTCTTCCATAAAGGATGAACAGCTGATGCGAAACCCAGGGTTGTTAATGTGATATATCACATTGATTGTTGTGTTAATATTGAACCACACTTGCAAACCTAGAATACATCCCACTTGGCTGGATCTTTTTTTTTTTTTAATCCTTTCAGCCACTTGGTGCTTTTTAATTAGTGAGTTTAACCCATTTACATTTAATTAATTATTTATAGGTAATGCCTTACTCTTTCCATTTTGTTAATAGTTTTGTTGTTATTGTTTTATACTTGTTTTATCCTTCTCTTCCTCTCTTGCCACCTTTCTTTGATATTTGTTGGGTTGTTTTATGAGTGATTTTCTTTGATCCTTTTCTCTTTATCTTTTGTGTATCTATCATAGCTTTTTACTTTCTGTTTAATGTATGTGTGTATAAAATATGTACTTTCAATTTTTATTTTAAGTTAATAACAATTTAATTTCTATTACATAAAAAACTCTCCACTTTTACTTTCCCACATACTTTCTGTAGTCAGAGTTTGCTTCTTTTTATATCATGTATTCATTAACAATTTTTTATCTTGTAATTTTATATTAGGTTTAAAAATTATTTATGCACCATTACAGTAGTACATTAAACTTCATTTATCTATATATTTAGCTTTACCAGTGATATTTATGCATTTCTATAATTTAACATTGATGTTTAGTGTGTTTTAATTTTAATTTTAGGAACTCCCTTAGGCATGTGTTTAAGGCAATTCTAATGGTGATGATGAAATCCCTCAGTTTTTGTTTACTTGGGAAACACTTTATTACTTCTATATTTTTTGTTTTTATTTATTTTTAAATATTTATTTATTTATTTATTTATTTATTTATTTATCTTGAGAGAGGGAGAGAGAGAGAGAGAGAGTGACGGTCTGAGAGAGAGAGACACCCAAGCAAGCTCCACACTGTCAGTGCAGAGTCATATGGGGAGCTTGAAGTCACAAACTGTGACATCATGACATGAGCTGAAATAAATAGTTGGATACTTCTATATTTTTTAAAATACAATGTTTCCAGTTACAGTATTTTTGGCATGAGATTTGTTTTTAGTACTTTACATATATCATCCTATTCTGTTCTGTCCTGCAAAGTTTCTGCTGAGAAATTCACTTATATTTTATGATTTCTTCATATATAAGAAATTGATTTTCCCTTGTTACTTTCAAAATTCTTGCCCAGTCCTTGACCTCTGATAATCTGATTATAACGTGTTTCATTGTAGTCTTCATTGGATCGATAATATTTAAGGATTTTTTAAGTTTATTTTTGAAAAAGAGAGAGGGAGAGGGAGGGAGGGAGAGGAAGAAAGAGACAGAGAGAGATTGTGAGCAGAGGAGGCTCAGAGAGACGGAGACAGAATTCTTAGCAGGCTCTGCACTGCCAGAACAGAGCCTGAAATGAGGCTTGAACTCACAAACTGTGAAATCATGACCTGAGCCAAAATCAAGAGTTGGATGCTTAACTGACTGAGTCACCCAGCAGCCCGAGGATTTTTGAGCTTCATTAACCTGGATGTTAATTTCTTTCCCTAGATTTATTTTTTTTCATTCATTATTTCTTTAAATAAACTTTTCCCCTCATTCTTTCTCTTTTCTCCCTCTGGGACTCAAATAATGCATTTATCAGTGCAAGAAAAACAATAAATCCTGACATTCTATAAATCCTGTAGGTTTTCTTTCCTTTGTTTCCTTTTTTCCTGTTTCTTCTCTGACTGGAAAATTTCAAATGACCTATCTTCAAGTTCACAGTTCCTTCCTTCTGATTGATCATGCCTGATATTGAATCTTTCAATTCCAGATTGGAATCTGCTAGATTCTCTTATTGATTTCTATCTCTTTGTTGAACTCTTCATTTTGTTCATGTATTGTTTTACTGATTTCCTTGAGTTGCTTAATTGTGTCTTATAATCATTCAGCTTTCATAAAGCAATTATTATGTAATTATTATTTGGATTTGTCAAATTTGTCAGGTAAGTCATAGATCTCCATGTCTTTGGGGTCAGTTAGTGAAAAACCATTTTGTTCCTTTGGTGGTGATAATTATCGATGTTTCATGTTCTATATGAGTTTGCATTTCTGTATGCACATTTGAGGCAATAGGCAGCTCTTTCAGACCTTATGGACTCACTTCAGTGGGAAAAGACCTTCATATGCAGGTGGCTACAAAGACACTGGCTGGCTGAGGTGTGGCAGCTTTGGCCTTAGGAGAGTGCAATGGCAGCTCCAGATCTAGGAATGAGGAGGGCAGGGCAGTGTTGATTTTGTGAAATTCCATCAGGTGAGGTTACCTTTTGAAGTGAATGTGAGGTTGTTTGGCAGACAAATCTGTGGGTGTCTGTGGTGACAAAGAGAGCTGCTGTAGTCCTCAGTGGCAAATACTGCTGAAGTCTTCCTGCTCTCCCTTCCCCCTATATGGGGAAGTTATGGCCATGGGGATCCCTCTTAATAACAGAATCTAGTGTTCAGGTATGCACATGGCAGCAGTGCTCATTTATAGACTTAGAAATTCTCAGGGACTTCTTCATTTAAATATCTATCATCATCATCATCATCATCATCATCACCATCATTATCATTATCATTATTTTTTATACCTACTTACCTTCATTACGTCAAGATACAGACAGATTTCAATCTCTGCATGGTCAAACACAGTGACTACTCTAATTCAATTTCTATAGCTCCAAGTATAACATTATATATAAATGGGAACCTAATACTTTGTTTTATCACAATGACAGATATTTGGAGGTAGGCCACATTATATTTAGTCAGGAAAATTAACTACTTATCAATTCAGAAATTAGTTTACCAGTATATTTATCAAAATATTTTTGTTATCTTGTTAAAAATGGAACAACATAAAATTTTTGTCCAAAATATTTTTCATAATATGGTATACCTAAGAAAAACATGGAAGAAATTATTGCTTGAACTCCCAGTAATTTTTATTGGTACAAAAATCTTTATATAGAAGATATTTCCTGTCAAATGTTGGTCACTTCTAAGACACTGTAAGATTTGAAAGCTAGTATGAGGTAAGAGGTGTTAGGATTAGTAAACTGATTATCAGTTTATCAGTGTCTCCTCATCATAAAAACAACTTTTTTCTGAAAAATTTGATAAAATAAAATATCTGATACAAAACAGCATTAAAGATGAGGAATAATGTGAATAAAGCAGATTTTGGACTTAACCGGACAGGAGACTGAAACATAGCTCTGCTAGTTTCTATCTTCCTGAATATGAGCAAAGCTGAAACATACTGTGCCTGTGTTTCCTGATTTGCATATGGGAGTATTGAAAATGCTTTTCCTTCTGGAAATTTGGTAAGAATTAAGTAACACAAAAGATAGATGAATAAATTCTGCACAACACTGAGATTATAGTTAACTATACTGTATTATACACTTGAAAGTTGCTAAGATACTAGATCTTACCGTTTCTCACCGCACACACAAAAAATAATGTGACGTGATGGAGGTGTTAGTTAACACTATCATGTTAATTATATTGCAATATATAAGAAACCAACACATTGCGCACTTTAAGCGTACACAATGTTATATGCTAATTATATCTAAATAAAAAATGTTTGGAACTAAAGAAGAAACATGGGAGATACTTAGTACCTAATAACTGGTAACTTCTTAGTGTTGTTATTGTTCTTTGTTTAGTTTTAATTTTAGTATTATCTATGTGTTGCTTCCAGCTAAAACAAATTCAGTAAAAGAATGCATTTTTTTCCATTGATTCCTGAATGTGAGAACTGGTTGAAGAACAACTCCCACTCTATAGTTCGCCATGATCATTTCAATTTTAGATGAGTAGAGCTATGCTATATTAAAGTCAAGGAGGTTTATCCTACTGATCTGAGTCAATTATTTCCCTCTTTAATTAACATTTTTCCCCTCCAAGATAAACTCCACCATGCTTACACTTTTAGGAGCCTAAAAGAACAGAGATAATACTGCTACCAATATGTCTATCACATTACATTGAATTTAGCTGCAGAGTTAGATTGGAAATCTATGGCTCCTAAGACCATTTTTGGTTGCCCTTTCTCATTTTCCACTAAAATTAAAACTTATTCATTTATTTATGCATCTGTTAATGCATGTTGATAGTTAAAATCCAAGTTACTTCCAAAAGAGATCTGAGGGGTGGTCTTATGATCAAAACCAAAGTATAATTATCACATGGTAAAGGAGGAAAAACAAATGGCAAGAAGAGAGGGTATATTCGACTCCACAGGCCTCTTTCTGTTCTATTCCTTCCTTTTTTTCTTTTTTTTTCTACTTGTTCTACCTCTTTTCCTTAGCCCCTTCCAATGACCTAAGTATGCCAGCACCTTTACTTAGCTAAGGAGGTGGCACTCCACCTAAAGTGACTGCAGCTGAGCCAAGGTGGATTCTCAGACATGCCTCTAAGTGGCAGATTGTTTAGAGAAAGCTGAAGAAGCATAGGCTGAAACTGAAGGGAACATCCTTTCACAGGCAGAAGGTAAAATAGCACTATAAAAATTAGTAATTAATTCCACTACCAAAAAAATGAAGATAACTGAATGTTTCCTGAAATGTAATTATAACCTGTAATGGTTTTCTAGTTTCACTGTAGTAGTTAGAGAGAGGGTTAAGCATCCTTCTGCAATAACTGTTTTTAATCAACATATACAAGTGATTCTCTCTTCTCTCCCTCATCCCTCCTCTCTCCAATCTCAGAATATTTTAGTAAGACTCACCTGCCTTGTAATCCTGAAGACACTCACCTGTATTAGAATTAAGATCATCAGGCTCTGATTCAGCCCCATTTTGGTTTCCATTTCCCTGAAGAGTGTTCATTGCCATAAGCTTCATCTTCTGCAGCTTCATTGCCTCAGCCATTGCTGCAGCTGTTATACCTAAAATCAGAACCATTCCTTTTATAATGGGGACCATTTCTTAATGTAACTGAAAGCTGTATACATTTGTTTAACAGGTCTGTTCTGCATAGCACAAGCCAAAAGAAAACCCATGTCTGATTTATGAATAATATCCTTTAGCAAAGTAATTTTCAACTCCTGTTATTACTTCATCTTACAATGGACAGTTTAATACTCAAAAAAATCATTAAATGTATATTAAATTCCATCTAAAATAATATTGTCAGAAGAAAATCTGTGAAATACTTGATGAAAATACTTTCCAGTGAGTATTACTGTAGGGACTTCTGCTAAAGGATGAACTGACTTGGCTGTGAGAATTATCTTAGAAGTGAGGGGGAAAGATGGGGAGGGATTATTTCAGATTCTCTTTCCACCTTTTGCCTTCCTTATGCTTTTACATTGAGAGACCAAATAAATGAAAACATGGCATGAAACCTCTGAATGTATACCACCCCCTGTAGTATAATTACATTCTTTTGTATTCATATGAAGCAATTATTTTTAAAACTCTGTATAATGGTATAAATAGGTAGAAATAAAAAACTCAAAGAGAAAATTTGAGTGCTTAAGTTTGAAATTGTTTCTCCTAGGAAGTCTATACCAGGCAGTATCATAAAGATATATAGGAAAATGTATACTAAAAATGGAACAAGCCATACTCCAGTAATGTCCTCCAAAATATCTACTGAATTCAACTTAATTATTTGTATATAATGCCTAAATTCCTAACCATCTATTGGTGCACTGGTGCCATGGGCCAAAAAGGAAAAAAAAACTGGCCAATTTAAAACACTGTTTATTGCAGGCATATGCATATTAACTAGAATTTAAATAAAATTTTGAAAAAATGAAAAAACTAAAACACAGCCTTTTAGAATTCAATTAAATCTATTCTCCCATGCAAATACAAATCAAGGAAAATAAGACATATATTAGTTGTGGTAAAAAGATAATCACAGCCATCATCACAAGAATCTGATTCTAAAGGGTACGGTTTACCCTTATGAAAGGTGTAAGGGGAAGTAAGTAAAGCCTAGAATATCTAACTGTGTTAGGTATTGGATAATCAATAAGTTTCTATTTTGCCATTCTGTACTCTTTACAATGCATGGAAAACTCCAAATGAAGTGAACATTTCACTACATTAGCCCATCTATAAATTATGGCAAAGAAATAATCTGAAAGAAATTGCTTTAGTTTCAGAATTGAAGATATACATTTGTACATTATATAGGTGATCCCAGAGATTTTCTTGCCATATTTAGCTTTACAGAATTCCAGGCCTTCAATGACCTGCCCACCATCAAAGGGTAACTCTAGGATGAAAATATGATTGGAATGATTTAAATAAACCAAAGGACTGCCAGGACTGAGTGCCTCATAACCCAAGACGTATCAGGAAAAGTGTCCAGAATTTACATCAACTACTTTATTAATCCAGACTGGATCCTGAGTATGACAATTATTGAATTATTTGTTGTTTAATTATTGGTAGTGCAAGTAGTAGATTTTTGTGAACAATATATAGATTTGTACTGTGAAAAACAAAAGCCAGCAAAATATGTTATAGGCAGAATTCCAGATAAAATGTGTCTTATGAAATGACACTAAGACAATTAATGAGCAAGAGTTCCCATATATTTTTAATTCATAGAAAAGATAGAAAGTTCCAATATCTATGCATTTTTTCAACCAAATGCTATCTTTATGATATCATTGAAAAAATATTAGCAAACAAATTCAGAAAATAATATTAAGGTAGTAAAGAATCAAAATATGCTAACATTACAAAGACATTTCAGAACTACCTAGTTCAATCTCTTCCTTTTGAAGATGAGGAAATAGTCTCACAGTTAAGTGTCATAGATCAAGTATTTAGAGGGAGATATGAAGCAAAATTCAACTTTCCTGATGGGACCTGGATATATTTGCTAAAGTACTGAAGTATCTCAAACAACACCTAATGAGGAAATAGATTGGGAAGATGGCAAAGTAGGACACCCTTGAGCTGACCTCATCCCATGTTTACAACTAGATATCATCCACATCCAAGTCAATCCAGAGGATAATAGATCAAACTCCACAACTAAATAGAGAAAAGAGATTGCATATGAAATGTTATGAAGGTCAGAAATATGGAGGGAGGTTACCCAGAAAAGCAATGGAGCTGCCTGCACAGAGAGGGCAGAGAAATGAGCCCTCACACCAAAGAGCTCATATGGGGAAGACTAATCCCATAACAATGGGCTCTAAGACCATTTATCCCTGATGTGGGGTGGGAGGGCATTGAGGAGGGCACCTGTTGGGATGAGCACTGGGTGTTGTATGGAGACCAATTTGACAATAAATTTCATATTAAAAAAAAATCAAGCAAGCTTAATATGTAATAGACTTTATTTATAATATTGTACTCAGATTTTGAAGAATGACTCCTGAAATTATATTCAAAAAAATAGAAAAAGGAGGGGGTCCCTGGGTGGCTCAGTCAGTTAAGCGACTGACTTTTGATTTCAGTTCAGGTCATGATCTCACACTTTGTGAGTTTAAGCCTCATGTTGAGCTCTGTGCTGACCTCACAGAGCCTGCTTCAGATTCTATGTCGCCCTCTCTTGCTGCCCCTCCCCCACTTGCTCTTTCTCAAAAATAAATAAACATGTAAAAAATAGGAAAAGGAAAAATATGATATTGGGGACATTAAGAAAAGTATGTATATTGGGTACTAACTTTTCATTGAATATGTAATTTGCAAATATCTTCTCCCATTCTGTAGCTTGCCTTTTAATTTTGTTGATTGGTAAAACTCAACACCCCCCCCCAATAATCCAATCAAAAAATGAGAAGAAAACATGAATAGACATTTTTCCAAAGAAGACATACAGATGACCAACAGAAACATGAAAAGATGCTCAACATCACTCATCAACAGGGAAATGCAAATCAAAACTACAATGAGATATTTTCTCACACCTATCAGAATGACTAAAATCAGTAACACAGGAAACAACAGGTGTTGATGAGGATGTGGAGAAAGGAGAACCCTCTTCACTGTTGATGGTAATGCAACCGGTGCAACCACTCTGGAAAAGAGTATGGAGGTTCCCCAAAAAGTTAAAAATATCCTATAATTCAGCAATTGAACTACTACATATTTACCTCAAAATACAAAAATACTAATTCAAGGGGATACTTGCACTCCAATGTTTATAGCAGCATTATCTACAATAGCCAAATTATTGAGTGATGAATGGATAAAGAAGTTTTGGCATATTTATACAATGGAATATTACTCACCCTTAAAAAAGAATGAAGTCCTGCCATTTACAACATGGATGGAGTTAGAGTATTATGCTAAGAGTATTAAGCTAAGTATTTTGCTAACAAGTTGCTCAGAGAAAGACAAAATTTAATTTCACTCATATATGGAATTTAATAAACAAAACAAACAAGCAAAAGGAAAAAAATAGAAAGAAGTAAACCAAAAAACAGACTCTTAACTATCGAGAAGAAACTAATGGTTACCAGAAGGGAAGTGGGTGGGGATATGGGTTAAATTGGTGATGGGGATTAAGGAGTGCACTTGTGAAGCACAGGGTGCTTTATGGAAGTATTGAATCACTGTATGGTACTTCTGAAAGTCATATTACACTGTACGTTAACTAACTAGAATTTAAATAAACTTAAAAAAATAAGTTTGTTTTTGCAAACACCAATAATCGTTTATTTTCTACCAATATTGGTAACATTTGTATCAGCCCTCACATGGCAAATGTTAAGCACACATAAAGTAACCAAATATCATTATAAAAAGTACCTTTCCTGCCATAAAATACATCTCAAATACAAGTATTATTTAAAAAAATGTAATTTCTTAAAACAGAATCAGGAATTTTCTTTTTTTTACTTAAAAAATCTAGTTTGAAACATTGTATCCTGAAGTAAGCTAGTGTATTAAAACATTAGCTTATAATGAAAACTTTTGTCTTGAACTCTGGTTCCACCATTACTAATGTGAATGGCCCAAGATATTAACTTCTACTTATTTCACTTTCCTTATCTGCCAAATGAGACAACTTTCAATTCCTTTAGAATTACTGGGAAAACTAATTTAGATAATGTGTATTAGAGAAACTATCATATATCCAGAAACAATATATGAGCTCAATGAGCATTATTTGTTGATTCAGTGCCAAATATACTACACTATTTTGTTAATTTTGAATAAAATAGAAAAATGCAGTAGTCACTGTTATGTAAAAACTATTCTGTGTTTGTTTGTTTTTATCTATGATATATAATATCGTAGAGATATAAAATAAATGTGTCTTGTACATAGTGTAATATATATATACTTATTTCAATGATTCAAGCCTAGTTTGAACTACTTTGTAGAAATTTTCTGATGTTTAATTGATATTATATATTAAATATGTTTTATGTAAACTGTATATAGATGTAATCTATTATTAATATTGATCTTTAAATAGCCAAATATATGTGTAGATGATATTATGCAAAATTAAAAGGCAATATTTGGAGTTCCAGATTTTTCATAAGTAGTTTCAACATTCTGTACTTTACTATTCGATTTCTCATGTCTAACTAACTTATGTTTCATCTAACTCTCAATTCTACTCCAGTTATTTAGAAATATATACATTTTAAAATGAAAAGTTTTGGCAATTTTAGGAAAAAGGTATTTATATTTGCTCATTTATAGAATCCACATGGAATTTTCCACTAAAGTTGTATTCCTTCATGTTTTCAATTTTACTTACAACATCTATTAGGTCATTTTTTAATGTATACAGAGTCATTTCTCATCATGACTTAGGTTCAGTTCTGGCTTTTAATTTTTAAAATGGAGGGGAAGGGGAAAAAAAAGTTAGAGATGGAGGGAGCCAAACCATAAGAGACTCT